ATAATACTATTCCGGCTTACATACAAATCTGACTTAAGGACAGACCTTGGGAACAGAACTTGTTCTTAAACTGGGGACTACCTGTACTATTGACTGTGGTATCCTTCTGTATAGGTTCCAGGGGCTGAGAGTGGGAGGCACTGTTTTATTGTTCTCCTTCCTCTGTAGCCAGTTCCTGTCAGTGTTGGTGGGGTGGGATAGATTGAGCCCTAGGCCCCTGCAATGTGGGGTGCCTCAGGGTTTGAGTCTCTCACACCTCCTTAATATCTACATGAGACTGCTGGGGGAAGTCATCCAGTGGCACAGGGTGTGGTATCAATATGCTGATGATGTCCAGCTATACATCTCCACCCCTGACTAGCCAAGTGGCATTATCCAGTGTTGGCCAGAGGCTGTAGGCTGTAAGGGTTTGGATGGGGAGGAACTGGCTTTGCTTCAACCCTAGCAAGAGAGAGTAGTGCTATGTTTTTAGTCCTCTTTAATTCTTGCTAGGATAGCCCTCATCTGAACAGAGCTGGTGCACAACTTGGGGATCCTCCTGGACTTGTGGCTACTGTTCGAGGAGCAGGTGGCAGCCATGGCTGGGAGGGCCTTTGCACAGATCCATCTTATGTGCCATTTGTGCCCATTCATGGATCAGGAGGCCTTGCACTTGCTCATAGACACTCATGTCCCAGTGACTTCCTGATGGATTACTGTAATTCACTCTACATGGGGCTGCCCTTGAAGACCATCTGGAACTTACAACTAGTTCAGAATGTGGCACTCCATGGTTTATTCATATTACACCACTGCTGTGTTAGCTGCATTGGCTTCCAATTTCTTTCCAGGTACAATTCAAGATGCTGGTTATCACCTTTAAACCATAAATAGCATGGGACCAGGTTACTTATGAGACTGCCTCGCATATATCCTCTCCCTGAGGGTATATGCCCATTTCTTCAGGTCTCTTTCCTCAAACGTTGTCATGTAGTATGACCTAGGAAGCATGCCTACTCCATAGGTGCCCGTGCCCTGTGGAATACCCCTCCCCAAGAGATCCAGCAGCCTCCCACCCTCCTTGCCTTCTGAAAGGCCTTGAAGAGCTGACTCTTCCCACAAGCATTGGGGTAGCATGAGGCTGGATCCCAGCAAGATCACCTGTTGATGTGTGGGAGAGGTGTTGCCCAGGGTTACCATGAGTTTTTATTGAGCTTTTGTTCAGTTTTTATTCTGATTGTTTAGGTTGAGGGGGGTTTGCTATTTTTACTGTTTTGTGAGCTGCCCAGGGTTGTGGTTGTGGATGTTTTAGTTTGGATTCCTACACCATTTAGTTGTATTCAATAAATCATGGTAAAAGCTAATGATCAAGTAGTCTAATAATCAAATGGTGCTGGGACACATTTCAATTAGCTATAATCAAGATTTGAATTTGGGGCGCTTTTCACTAGGTCATGCACTTGATTATTGACTCAATTTGTTAAGCTTGTTTAGCTGCCTGGGAGAATAGCCAGATCTTTCAGGCCCTCCAGAACACCATCATAAGGATAACTAACTAAATAGCTAAAGGATAAAGCTGTTGAAGACATTAGTCTCTTCAAGTAACACAAACATTTTTCATTGTAGCTTTCAGAAATCTCAGCTGTCTGTTCCTAATACTTGAACCAGATATTGCATCTCCTTTTGCCTATTAATGTTGCATAGGAGACAAAATAATTTTAAGAATTTTTGATTTGAAGAAGTATATTTTGACCTATATACTTATATATGACAGTAAAACAGAACAAACCTAAGTTGATTGTAGATACTAAATTAACTGATTAATAATGCAGTCCTATACAGAACTCAGAAATAAGTCCCATGGTACTCAACGAAAGGAGGTTAATCCCCTTATAAATTTACATCATAAATATTGGGCCTTAATATTGCCACTATCCACCATGTGTGATACAATGTTTTGGATTTTGAGTGGAGTGAGAGAAAATGCAACTAGGTTAACATATGTGGCAGAATAAGGTGCTAGAAAAAAACCTCTCTACCATAAGATTAAAAATAGAAAATGCTAGTTTTGAATGACTCCCTACACACAAAGAGAAAAATGACAGATAAGGAAGAAACGGCCTAGAACAGCTTTTAAACTTTTATTTCCAATGTTCTACCTTCTCTTCAATTGCATGTTTACATCTATCCTTGGTATATATTTTCATATGACTGCAAATAGACAAATAGTTCTGTTCATATGAGGGAGCTGAACAGCTGGTTAGAATCTTGATTTTTTTCCCCCAGAAAGACTATACACACACACACACTCTGTGTGTCTATGTATGTATGATAGTTTAGCATACATACAGTAGCTTGTTACAATGTACAAGAAATTCCTACTCTGACAAACTTGCAATCAAAAATCTATCACAGGAAATCATGTAGAGAAGTGAAAGTGGGCATAAATAGAGAATTTCCATGGAATGAGGAACGTAAGAAGAACCATGCTAGATGAGAAGTAAAGCCAATCTGTTTCAGCATTCTGTTTCCACAGTGTCCATGCATAAGTTCAGTTACAGAATTCTGTATAAATGGATGCATAAATTAGCAAGTGATGTCAGCTAACATATTTTATGTGCTTTGTTCTTCATTTAGGGATTATCCATAAACAATTTGAGAATAAGATGAGGTGAGGTTAAATAACATTTAGAAAGTACCATGATATGTTTGGATAGTCCTTATAACATGTACATTCATGTTAATGAGATAGAGGAAGAAAATGATTACAACTCTTACAGCTTTAAAACCAACTTGATTATATCCTCCCAGTAATAATTTATAATTTGTATTTTATGTCTCTTTTCAGGGCAAAATGTCATTTCAAGATCCTACTATAAAATAAACTATGTAACTGAAAGTAACAAATTTATTTTTCTCCAGACAGAAATCCACCATAACTGTAAATGATATTCTATGGATGTTACTACAGCCTAAAATACAGACAAGCATCATATTTCAGTTAAAACCAGACTCGAGCAGTTTGGCCTTCAATACCTATTTTAAAAAGGATCCAAACACACATCTTGTAGAAGTTCCATGATGAGACCATAAACAGAAAGGGCTCGTTTCTTATGCCTTCCATAACTAACCAGAAAAAAGTCACGAATTCTATATAATTAAGTCACAAATTTTATAAGCTGAATACATCTACTTGTACTAATTTTATTTTCTGGTTATAAATGCTTGTCATGTAACAAAAAAACTATGATACAAATGCTTCATGCTAGTGAACTGTATGCGTATCATGCCAGCACAACATCCTGTTCTGTGTGAAATTTGGTTATCAGTACATTCAGTTCTTGTTCTCTAGGATTTAAGTACAAGATATTTTCTGTGGAATTTTTGAATATTTTAAAAAATGCTGTAGAACTCAACATGACTAAAGTTGGATCATTCCATAGCTGTCTTAAGGGGATGCTCTATATAAATATGGGTTATATAATGGGTCATTAAATTCATGCCTATTTTAAGAGCATTCTTAATAATTTGTTCATATTTAGTTCTTTATTCTATTTAGGGAATTGGTTGTAAAGAAGAAACGCAGATTGCACAAGATGAAACAAAGAAAGAAACAAAAGAAGAACAGAAAAATGAAAAATGCTGATATTACATCGGTGGACATAAAATCAGATGGACACTTAATTCCAAATGACGGGGATTTATTACAAAATGGGCAGGAAAATTCAGAAGGCAATGGAGAATCGGAATTAATGACTAGCCATCTAAATGAAGCTGAAGCTGACATTGAGAATGGCTCAGTGAACTATAATTATTTACAGCTTTGTGAATTGCAACAAAATGGTTTCCTTGTTTCTGGTGTAGTAAATCCAGTGTCTTTAGAGAAGTCACTAAAAGCAGATGTTACCGAAGATACGTCACCATCAATTTCTCTAAATGAAAATATAGCTGACCAATTACCCAGTTGTCATTTATCAAATCGGATCAAAAGCATATCATTTGTAGAAAATGACAGTAACAATTTAGATTATAACAATCAAAATTCATCTCAACAATCAGATCAGAATGATGCAGGAAAAAATACTGTTTTGACTGATAAAGAAAACAAAAATACATCTGCTGAAGATACATATGACTTGGTCCAAGAAAGCCAAATGTTAAGCAGTGAAGAGGAAACAATTCTTGCACATCCACATGGGACTTCAAAAAGAAATGAAATTAATAACTGGGCTTTCTTTTCCTTTGATTTGGCTAATGAACAGTTTCAGACTAAGATAGATAAAAGTGAATCCTGTTTGACTTGGCGTGAGGATGGATCTAAGATCATGTTTGAGCAAAGACCAAAGAAGATAAAGAGGCCTAAGAAGATGTTTTCAGATGCAACAACAGAAATAACTGATTATAATTCTAATGAAGAATTAGTGAAAGAAAGCAGTGGGATACTGCTGCATGAAAATAATGATACAACAAATTGTCCTCTATCATTGCTGATGGAAGGTAACTCTAAGATATGTGATAATGTGGGTGAATTTGCCAGAGAAGGTGGAAAGAAAGCCAGTTTCACAAGTGATGAATGTATATTAGCTTTACCAAAGAAAAAAAAGAAATACAAAAGGATCTTCAAACTGGCCCCAAACTTTGATTTACCACGGCAGATTCCTCTTAAAAAGAATCAGAAAGTGCTAAACGATATAGATACAGAAACAGAGAAAGAAGACATTTCAAATGAAGAGATTGGAGAAAAGAACAAACAATACTGTGAATGTCTAACATCTAATTACAATGTAGTACCTGAATCTTCTCATTTTGATGTAGAACGTCTCTTACATAATGGTTCCAATCAACTTGCAGAGGAATCTGTGAATCTTTCAACAAAAGAATCTGATATTCCAATTCATGTATGTGCTTCTGCTTCTTGTAAAGCTTCCTTACCAAGTGAACAAGAATTTTTTGAGTTTGATGAAACTATAGAAATTAAAACAAAGAAAAAGATATCTCCAGTTGTTTCAACTACCCAGCCAGATATTTTGCATTCAGTTCACCTAATTACTGGATACCTCACAAACACCATGGCTGAAAATTTTGAAAATATAGAACAGATTAATGAAAGTGAACAAACAGTGTATTCTCAGATCAAAGATGTTCAAGATTCCTCATGTGCAAAATCCAGTAATTTGGACCTTCCATTATCACTAGGATTTGTACTTCAACTAGTAGAACTTTTTGGTTTTCCAGGAGTTCCATTAGGTAATTATTACCTAAAATAAAGAAGAGAAAAATGTAGAATTTCATATAGTTGAATTTTAAAAATTAATTGAGTAGTTTACATATGCATTTTTTAACTTTCCTTGCTTGGATTGTCTTTTTTATATAGAAGCTTGGTCTTATTGCTTGCTTTGAAGTAATAGCACCAAGTTAAAAAACTGAAAATGATGCATTTTTGATACAAATTATTAGAATATGCCTTTATGAACTAAGAGTCACCTCATAAAAATCATGTGGTAAATTTAATTTTTGGATTTCATGCCTGCCAATTTTCAATTTAAATTATTTTCTATGTATTTAATTATCTTGCATGTATGGTTTTTCACCATATACAGTCTACGAGGTGCCTCAGTTCCACATTTGCTTAAGCAATGCTATAGCTTTCAGACTATTAGTTCAGGTGAGAAGCACCTGAGAAGTATTCCAGCCTTCAACTTGATGCCTTTTCTCTTTGAGGAATGTTTTATAGGTAGGATTGTTCAGACCATTCTGGGTGTGTTTTGCTTATAGGAACAACATGAGCAAAGCACTACTACAAATAGTTTGCACAGTCTTGTTTACAGGTTTTAATTACTCTGTTCAAATGATGGCACAGTTCAAACTATTGAGTGGGCGCTCATCATGCAGACGACAGGTAAATTTTGCCAGTTAACGATGCTAGGACTTTAAAGGAGACTCTCTACATTTAGATTTTTTTTCAGCCTTACAAAGGACACTACACAACATCATCTATAGTTTATTAGTCTTTCTATAATAACATGGTAAATACTATGACCCACCTCATGTCATGTTACCACAAGATGTAGACTGTGAAAACCAACCCATTGTATTGAACCAACTTCTTTAAAATTCAGTTTACTACAACTGGAGCAACTGCTCCTTGGCTGGAGGGAGGGTGCAAACCCACCCTAACCTGGTGCTGCCACTGTGATGCTGCCTCACAGTTGCCTAACTCAGCTTTGTTGACCCAGCGAGCAGCAACATTCAAAACTGCAGCTGAGCTCCAGTCTAGCTGCAAGCCATTCTCTCTGACAACAATCCCCATTTTAAATCTACTTAAAACCAGTGCCCAGATGTGTTCATCATTTCATTCAAAGTGGAACAGCAATGGCAGCAACTGTGGAAGCCTGGCTTGGGCTTGTTTGCTCCTCCCAGTACATTGCCAGAGATGAAAGGGCTCACTGACCCTCAAAAACCAATTATCTCTGCCCATTGGAAACTGCCAGAGGAACCCCACCTATTTTGTTTGTTTATTTTAGAATGGAGTATGCTGCCCACTTCCAGATGGTTCTGGTGGCTTACAAAAGAAATGTAAACATTAAACACACACACACACACACATCATAAACAACTTGATAAGGCCTGGGAAAATTTTATATTTCCAACTTTCTCCTAAAAGCATAGTAAGGAAAGAGGCAAGCCAACCGCAATTTGTTCTATAATATAGGCCTTGCCATGGTAAAAGGAAAAGGTGCCCCAGGCAGACCAGAATGTGCAGGGTGAAGTGTACTGAATTAGGCAGTCCAACAGGGACCTGAATTTTATAAGGCTGTGCACACTAAACAGAAGGTCTTCCTTTAGGTTTAGGAAAAAGTAGTAACCAGTTGCAATATGGGGGTCATGCGGCCCCTTAGAGCGGGGCCACTCATCTTCACTTATGCATTCTGGATGAGCTACAATTTCCAGCCCATGTTTGGGGAGCCCCATGAAGAATGCATCTTTTTTTTTTACCCTCTCTTTGCCTAAATCTACCAAGAACTGCTTGTTAAATTTAGATCTAGCTTACTCATCCCGATTGTCTTTCCCCTATTATTTTGTAAGGTCCATTTAGATATTATGGTTCCTAATTGTTCATAATTTATTTTCCAATTTTTTCTTTAATTACATCTTCTCCTTACATCATGGCCATATCTGTTGCAGTGAATTTAATATGTGGTAATGATGTGGTAAAGAACAAACAGGCCATAGTTCAGAAGCTGGATTCAGTCTACTTTGAGTGAATCTTAGTCATTGGCTATATAGAAAGACCTCTTCTGTTTGGAGAGCTGCTGTTGATGGATACGTATCAGGATAAAGCCATCCCAGATGTTCATAAAGAATGGAGGATTTTCTCCTGTCCTATTGTATACATTATATCATTTCATTTTTGACTGCTGCAACTATATTGTAACAAAGTTTTTCTATCCTGTGTAGTGTATCTTCATTTATGCAGTTGCTCCAACAGGCCTGGCATATAAATTAATGACTTCAACTTCAATAAACAATAAATGAAGTTACTCTGCATATTTTATTTTCATCGCTCCCTATATAATCTCTCAAATCATTTTTAATTTTTAAAACTTGTTTTAGTTTTTAGTTCATTCAGTACCAGACACAATTATAAGTTAGCAAGTCTTAAGTAAGCTGGGTGACTCTGGGCCAGTCAGTCTCTCTCAGCCCAGCCCACATCACAGGGTTGTTATTGTGGGGAAAATAGGAGGAGGAAGGAGTATTAGGTATGTTTGCCGCCTTGAGTTATTTATA